AAGGAGTGTTGTATTATATAGGGTTTAAATTTGGACCCATCTCCCGCCCCCCCCCCCACAGACAGGGACAGAGAAATTAATTAATTAGTTAGCTGATTAATTAATTAATTTCTCTGTCACGGTCTGTGATGGCTTCTGAAATCTGTGCAACGGTCTGCGATGCTCTCTAGAAACTTCATAAACCATAATACAGATACAGACCGTGGTAGACGGATTCCAGAAAACGAGCTTTATCGGGTTTCACATTTTAATCCCGCAGGGATTGCGCTAACAGCTTTTCGTTTTTGGTGGCATACCGATTTTATTTTATTATTATTAAAGTTCTCGAAGAAACAAATAGTCCTCAATTCTGGTGATTTCATTAAGCAAGCAAATATGAAAATGATTGCAAACGCACTACAGACATCAAATAATAGAAAATTCTTGATTAAAACAGATAATGATAATCAAAAAAAAGATTTCATAGGCGTGAGTATGAGTGAGTTTTAGTAATCGCTATCGTAACAGCCACACCCACACCCTCAAGTTCAATACTTCCGAATATCTGTGTAGCAACCGAACTCTTTTTCATGATGATTTAAATTAGCGGTATTCTGAACAAGCCTACAGTTTTCTACTATTATTTTTATCATTCAGGGCATCTTATCAATGAAACTTTATTGATAACACTCGAAGTAAGCAAGTGAGTTTGAATTACGTAATGTGGGTTAGAGAAAAGTTTGTTGAAAGGCGGTTCTAATCAGCTTGCCAGGAAAAATTGTAATGGTAGTGTTCACCTCCATGAGCATCCCATGTATGTCTGCATTTACAATAACCGTCTCCATTTGCTTGATAGTGTGTACAAGCACAATACTTGCAGCGATATTTTCTTTCTTTGGGACATTCGACAATTTCAGTTGCTTGTCTTTCTGAAGCAGCTTCATGAACCACTTGATTTTCTCCTGCTAAAATTCTTCTCGGATTCTTTATGTCCATAAGTTTTGACGAAAGTGAATATTATTTAGCGTTTCTCTTTGCTCGGCTTTTTTTATATAGCTTACAACGGTAGTTGAAATGAAGGGTGCCATGGAGGTATGCGTTGTCGAAAGAAAAACAATTGAGGGAGCAAAGTGAAGAACAAACTCAATTTTTCCATTCGGAAGCCGAATAGAGAACGTCGAATTTCACAATGTGGGACTTTTTTTGTTGAAAGGGACCTCCATAAAACGCACAATACGCACTCAAAAAGAGACAGCCACTTTACAAACAGGGTAGGATGCATCTTGATTTTTCGCAACGTCCTCTCTTTTGGCCTTCTATGACTGCCATTGCTTTGAGTGGGTGTGGGTGAGTGTGGGTATGAGTGAGTTTTAATAATCGCTATCGTAACAGCCCCACAACCACCGACACCGACATCCACATCCACATCCACACTCACGCCCATATGTAACAAAGGTCTTTGTTGAATTGCAAATAGAGGGCGTAACCGCTTATGGTTTCTGCACATATTATGATTTTACATTGTACGTCAATGTATCTAAATTAATCTCATATCGAGATTAAATTGATAATTGTGATGATATCGTCTGTTTAGCTACATCATCAAATTTGATTGTGCCTCATTATTATTAGTTTTCTATAGTTTAATTATGTAAAATTTATTTTCGCATATTTATATAGACAACAACAAAACAAAAAAGTTCTATGAAATGTTTGTTAAATAACACGAAACATTTCACTTAGGGAATTGCTTGTTGGTAAATTAGGAGCTGTTGAACTTTTAACAACTTTTTTTGGATCCATTGGGATTGGACCTGTAGGTACTCGAATACGTAAATTTTGAGTTTGTTGAAGTCGTTGTTGATCTTGTTCTTGTTGTGATTGAGCTGGAATCATTTTAATTGATGATGGTGGAGCCGGTGGTGGTGGTGGTATTGGTAGTTGTTTGAGTTGAGGTACTGGATGATGATGAGGAGGAATAGCTGCAGGCACTGGTGTTGGTGGCTTAGCTAATTCTAATGCAACTTCAAGCATCGATTGTGTTGTACTTGTTTGTAGTGGTTGTGTACGAAATAGCCATGGACGATCTATACCATTTTTTTCTACTATTGTCATCGCCAGAAATGGAACTCGACGAGCAATATCAAATAATTTTTCTTTGCATTAAAAAATTATATAAAAATTTTCGGAAGATAGAGAAATTCAACTAACCTGGTTGAAGTTTACCACCAGATAAATGTCTTGTTAGACCTTCAAGGCTTGGAGCATCTACAAAGTAAAGAAAAAAAGAACATAACATTTCTCTTATTCTGTAATTAAACCTACGTGCTACAATTAAAACAGTGCCACCAGTAGCTTGATGTCGTTCAGTTATAACATCCATAATTCCTCGACATCGTTCGTAATAGTCAAGTTGACTATCATGTGGACGCATAAACGGCATCAATGATTGATAAGATTTCTCAATGTTATATCCATTTGCTGCCAATTCATCTTTAGTCATAAAACATAATGTACGTTTAAAATCATTTAAATAACATTCAAATAATCCTGGTTCCTATTTTTAATTTAAATAATCGAAGTAAAAACTATTTTTAAGTAATACTTACTAATTGCATGGGTACATTTTTTCTATTCATACCATTCAAAATACCGTCGGCACTTTGAACGCATCGTAACGATGGACTTGTATAACAAATATCTGCGACATATCCATTGAATAGTAATGCTTTACCTGTTTTGAAAGCATGCATACGACCACGATTTGTCAATGGTACATCAATGACATAATGATGTAAATAAGAACGAGTTGGTAATCTATAAAACAAAGTTTGGTTGTGTTTTTAAAAAAAATTAAAATCCTACGAATCAGGTAAATGTTCACTAAATCGTATATAACGACCAGCTCGATCAAAGCTTTTCTTTGACCAGTCCGATCCTAATACAGCATCAGCTCGTTCAGCATGACGAATAATTATAATTCGAAGAGGTTTGCTAGTTGGCAAAATACGTCGATTAATTTGAGCAGCAGATTGAGATTGTACATCTGAATACATTTCATTGGTGTATGGCAAATATTGATATTGTTGTTGTTGTTGTTGTTTGGCAGCCATATTTGCTCTTTGTAATTGTTGCTAAAGATTGGAAAAGATTTTTCATATAAATAAATATCAGTATGACATAGACTATCTACTTGAGCTGCAACTGATTGACGTTCTTGTTCCATTAATTGCATGAGTTCAACGTCGTATGGATTCTGTGTCATTTGGTTGTTTGTTGGCGCAAGCATTGATGATATTCGCCGGTTGTTATTATTAATACCATTAGGCGAGGTATTATGAGCCATAATAGATATATAATAATAATAATGTAATCAGTGTTATATATCTAAAGCATAATATAGTTCAAATGTGAGGAACATGTTCATCATGTGATTTATACGTAAACGACTAATAATGCGTCGAAACGACTTATGTGTAATTATTTTTCACTGTAGAATATACTAAAAAACATCAAATAAAAACACGCATAGATATTCCTTGTGCTTGAATAAACAAGGTTTTTACATTCACCTATGATAGACGAAAAATATGATTAATTACCTTCCATATAATTTATATACGTATACGTATATGCTTTTTCTTTACCTGTTGCAGTCGATCGGTTAACGTCATATTCGTTTTCTTTTCTACATACATGAAAAATAAATTTTCATATTAGTGCATCAAAACAAATTTGTTATGTGTTTATATAAATAAAACAGTATTTTAAGTTTTTGTTTTCGTCATTGATTCCGAAACAATTGTTGTGTTCAGTCAAGAGATAAATATTTCAGTATTTGTTCGTATCGAATGAAATGACGAGTACTGATCTGCACTAGCTAACCCAACAGAGGTTTTATCGTTTGTAGTATATTTTTAGAAATCGATCAAATTAGCGTGTGTATATATCAAAATCAAACTATCACCGAATTTAGTTTTACATAAAAATTAAAAAAATTCTCTATGTCCATATTGTATTCAAATTCCAAATATCGATTGTATTAACAATAATATTTTCATCATTACTTGAAGCATTGTTTACATAAACGGCTAAATTATTTGCATTATCTTCTTCGGGATAAACACGTCCCGTTATTGCAAATCGACCTTGCTGTGGTTCAAATATTTCAATAACTGAATGATCAACAAAAATGTCTAACTGAAGAAACCATTGATTGTTCGTCGATGTGGCTTCCAACCACACAGGCGCATGAATGGGTCCATGTGCAGCTCCCGGATTCTTTTGTGATAATGTTCTATTCATATAAACCCATATGATTTGTTCATTATTTTCTCTTTGTTTTACACCTGACACACAATCTAACTTTGAGGTTAAAAATGGCACGCCAGATTTCAAAAAACAATTCTTATTTATTGGTTGATCTTTAACAAATGTCCATGCTTGACATCGATTATCTCGATTACATGATAGTTGACAATCAGACCATTCTGAAATATTTGGTACACTTAAATAATCCCATCCTTGTAGATCCCAATTCATCATAACAGCTGTATTATTTCTTGAAGTGATACCAACATTTGTTCGTTGTGTGCCATTAGGTGTTGATAAAACAATGAGTCCAAAATCTAAATTCTATTCGAACAAAAAAATAATAATAAAAAAAAAATAACTTGATCATTTTACTTGATTCATAGGAAATTGCCAATTTATTTCAATTTCAATTTGATTTCCATTTACATCAGGTATGAGTTGAAACGGAAGTTCTTTAGGCAAAATTATATCATTAAAATGTCGATGACTTTGAGAATCACGTAAAGTTCTCAATGCTTCAATCGGTCGTGAACGTAATTCAAGGCCATCTTCAGACAAAAATATTGCTCGCGGTAGTGTATGAAACCCTTGCCAACCACGTTGCGGACCAAGATTATCATCTTCTGTTGCCCAACCCATAATTATTTGCTGATCATTTATTGGATCATAGAATGTTTTCGATGCATAAAATTTTCCATGATCAATCAATTGCACAAATTCACCAAGATCGTGATTGATAGGCATAAAAGTTAATTGATTTGGATCAAGATCTCCTATAGTCCAAAAATCGCATCCAAGTAAAGATGCTTTTAAGACAACACGATTTGTAATATTGAATATATCTGGACATTCCCAAAATTTATCATATTGATTACTATGTATCGGATGTAAATAAGTCCAATTTGAAAAATCTTTCGAAGTAAATAATACAGCTTGACCACCTAATTCATTTGTACCATAACCATATATTAAATAATAATTTTTTTCATTATCTTGAAAAGCTGTTGATGGATCACGCCCATTCGGATATGTAATTAAAGGATTTAATGGAGATTTTATCCAAGTTGTTAACGTTGGATCCGATATATTAGCAGGTTGTGCTTGACATTGTACTTGTTGATTGTCATGTGTTATACCTGTATAGATAATAGTTGGAATTCCATCAACAATTGTTATACTGCCTGTAAATATTCCATTTGTATCGTAGGGTTGATCAGGAGCCAAAGCAATTGGCAAAAGAATCCAATGTACCATATCTTTACTGTAACTATGAGCCTTTGTGCATGAAATAATAACAAAAAAAGGCTATCATGAAAAATATTTTTTGGATCTTACCCAATGCATATCTCCCCATACAGCAGCATTTGGATTATATTGAAAGAACATGTGATAGTAGCCATTGAAGTAAACAGGTCCGTTTGGATCATTGAGCCAATTTTTAACAGGCATCAAATGATATTGTGGACGTAATGGTTCATCGGCTCGGACAAATCCGAATAATATAATTAACGACGTGAATAGAAGCATTGTTTGCAGATGTTTGTTTGTCTAACTGTGTGGTTGTGTATGCCTGCTTTTATATTGTGTAATCGCATTCATTTTATTCTGTTATCTCTCGTCAGTCAGAAGTTTTCTTTAACATGAATAGAAGCAAAGGACCTATAATTCGTTTCTACTGATAAAATATTTCTTTCTTGTTCATACATTGTTCGATTCTATTTTTAAGGCATTTCTTTTTCTATTTCATCTATGAAGACAAGGACTATTTTATGCATTTACGCATGTATGTTTGTTTTTCAAGTACATTATTTATTTATTTTTAATGAAATAGATTATACTGCACTTGCGCAAAGAAAAAAATGAAGTCTGATTGCAGATCGTAATTTTTTTCTTATGTTAATTAAAAAATAACATAAGACTTTTTGATTTTTTTCTCTCGTTTCGATGGATTGTTGAAAAAATGTTGTCTCGTAAGTTAGAGCATTCATCTTGAATGAATTAAGAATAGTTCAATAAAGTCAATGCTCAAGTTATTAGAAAAAAACATTATGAAGATCTTCGCAATAAAATATAGAGAATTAAGCTCGACGATCGTATTCATGAAGAGTTTATTTTCATTATAGATTACTTCTGCTTCTTTTTTTTCTTGTCTAACTTCGCATAGAAACGAAAGAGAGAAACGATATTTAGCAAGAATAAGAAGAAAAAAACTCGAAGAATATTTCTTGCCGATAGATCACATTTATATATGTTTTTTTTTCTCGCTGATTATAGTAGACATGACGGTCAGTCGATTACTATATATGTATATGCTCTTTTGTTTTCTTCTTTACTATACTTCGAGTGATTTCTTTATTGTAATACTATAGATAATGGGACCGAAGAAAGCTGGATTTCAATGGGATAAGTGGGATCTTAAAACTGGCTATAAAACAAATCAATGGCAATCGAGAGTATCCGCACCATCCTGTGCTTTTTGTAATAAACCAGTCTTTCCAGCTGAAGAAATTGTTGGTGCTGGACAAAAATATCATAGATTTTGTCTTAAATGCAGTAAACGATTTCATTTTCTTCTTATTTTTAGAAAAGTTCGCTTTTCATTTAGTTGCATGCAACACATTGCTTAATTCAGGTAATATCAATTCACACGAAAAAAAAATCTATTGTGTATCTTGTTATCGTCGACAATTCGGTCCACGTGGAAGTAAAAAACCTCAAGGCTATTGAATATAATGTTGTTGTTTTTTTCTTCAGTTGCTCATGGCTTGGGATTACCATTATCACTTAATATTGAAACACCGCCAACTAGTCCAAGTTTACGGCGATTCGAAATATGTGTTGATAGTCAACACTATCAACGAATGACATCAATAGGCTCCTCAACATCTCGTACCTCGTCGGATGATGATTCACGTCATACTCATTCTCGAACGAACAATACTACATACGTAGACGATATAAGAATACTCGAAATCAAACAACGTTCATCGACGACAAATTTGAATACATACAAAATGATGTCAATCTCAGGAAATATTTGTCCTCGATGCTCAAAAACTGTTTATTCGGCTGAAGGAGTTAAAGCTGCTGGCAGAGTATAATAATCGCATGTTTTTCTTTTTCGTTCAAGATTATTATGTCGTTTATTCTCTTTGTAGTCATTTCATAAACGATGTTATACTTGTGCTCACTGTAAAGGAGGCATAAGTGGTGCTCGTTTCTCTGAGCATAATGGCGAACTTTATGATAATAGTAAAATGTTTATGTTTGTTTTAATTTTAAAATTCTATCTTTTTCTTCTTTAAGATTGTTATCATCGTTTGTTTGGCCCGAAAGGCATATTATCAGTAGGAAATTAAAATCTATCAAGAATTATTAATAGACCGGTGCTTTGAATAAAAAAAGAACAGCAACTAGATTCTCTTTTATCATTTTCCCTTTATCTCCTCTATTGACTTTTTTTTCTTCTCTCTCATTGTTTTATTGTCTATTCCTATTAGATCTAACGGTGTCGTTGTTATAGGAAATCGAAATCTCTATGTAGCGTAGTTTCTTATATGAAAATTGTAAATGAATAAAAATATTGATTGTGTAACAAGAATAGCAATTATAATTTATCGCTAAGTTGATATATTGCCCACGTCGAAGAACACTCATTTGGACATAATTTTAAATAGTTATACACAATAATCGTTTTTATTTCAATCATCATAAACGATTTTCGTTGAATATCAGAGAAACAAAATATTCTGTTAGTACTACAAGGTTCGACTAAACTATAATTAAAAGTCGAGAAGAACGTTTGTTAATGTCGAAAATTTTGTTGACTTATTTTAATTTCTAATATAAATAATTCTACTACGAAATAGCAGATGTAAGCTATGATTAAAGTACTTGACATTTATTCCAGAATTTCTATATTATTTAAAACCAATGATTACTCCATTTCGATTGATTCATAGTTCATCAATATTTTATTTTTTCATGCGAGTAAAAAGCGATCAAATCTTTCACCAGCATGAACTAACGTTTCATCGAATTTGAAACTATTCAGTGAAGTAAATTATGCACAATATTAAACGACAATAGCAGGGTTTCGTTTTGATCGGAACACGCCAGAAGCCGGTTCTTTGACTCAAACATAAAAAATTTGAGTCAATTCGAAGTACGCAAGTATCAATCTTTTTTCTACCATCTCACTTGATAGCCGTCGCCGCTTGTTAAGCCAGACGACATGTTTCCAATTCACCATCGGTGAGAGTTTTAGACCCCCGAGTGAATGATGAAATGTGAAACACAAAGAGACCATAGAAAGACACGACTTATATAGTTGATAATGTTATTATGCAAGGGACAGAACGACGAAAAAACGAGTGTTGTATTTTCCCCTCTGATTCTTTTATTTCAGTTCCGCCAAGAAATTACCACGTGTTAACAACCTCTTTCAAAGAGTTGGGAAAATTCTCATGGTCTTTTTCTCTTCTTAAAAGTTTGATACGATATTAGAAATATCCAACATTATCTAACTGAAACCATTTGGATTTTTTAAACTACCGATTACAGAGAGAATCACGATGTGAAACTTCATTACATTTAATCATCGTGATGGTATGAGTGATAATTTCTTTTGAAATATTCCAACCAAATTCAAGCTTTCGAATCGTTAAGTACAATCAAGACTACATTTATTTTTATACCAGTACTGTATATCAGATCTTTTATTGCAAAGTTATCTTAATATGAATAGAATACATTTGCGAAAATAGATCTCTATCAATAGTAAAAGCATCAGCGAAAAAAAAAGAACGGAGCATTAGCTGTTTTCTTGAGTTTAGTGTTCAGAATCAATTTTTCAACTGCTAAAAATCATCTTAAATAATACCCCTCGGCCCAAATAAACGTTGATAGCATTCTAAAAAAGAAAAATACAAGCCTAAATCGAAAAAAATTATATCGTTTTACTGTTATCATAGAGTTCGCCATCACGTTCAGAAAAATGAGCACCACTTATAGTTCCTTTACAATTAGCGCAAGTATAACATCGTTTATGAAATGACTACAAAGAAAATATACGGCATACGAATCTTGAACGAAAAAAAAAAGATTATTATACTTTTCCAACAGCCTTAACTTCTTCAGCTGAATAAACAGTTTTTGAACATCGAGGACAAATATTTCCTGAGATTGACATCATTTTAAATGCAGCACCACTGACAACACTCGCTGCTGTTGGTCGATTAACTGTCGGCAATGTTTGTCGTGTTACGCGTTCACCTGGGTATGGTATACTTGAACGTAAATAATCATTGTCAGACGAAGCATGAGATGGCGATGAATTTACTGGTGTGTTTCGATCAGTATTATCATCATCTGTATTTGTTAATCCGCTAATAGAATCTATTTCTTCTTGATTTGAATCAGGGCTCGTTGGTGGTGTGTCTAAACTAGGTGTCAATGTTGTTGCAATACCAAAACCAACTGAATACGAGAACATGTGTAATTTGATTTCTTTTATTAAAAATAAATTCTCACCTGTTCGTGGACCGTGCTGACGACGATAACATCCCGAACAATAGATCTTCTTTTCACGTTCATTGAAATTACCTAGATTGAGAATTGTGTTGCATGAAACTAACGAATAGAAAAGTGCGATAGAATTTCAACAATGAAAACAATAGAATAAATAGTTTACCGCATTTAAGGCAAAGTTTATGAAATTTTTGTCCGGCAGCAATAAGTTCTTCAGCTGGATAAACACTTTTATTACAGAATGCACATAATGGTGCTGATATTGATGCTCGCCATTGTCCTGGCTTGGCATTCGATCTATCAGCGTTTACTAATGATTGAGAACTATTTCTAGTCGATGCCATTATCTATTAGAATAAAACAACTTTTTTTTATGGAAAAGTAAACAAAATTTTCTTACTGGTGATGTCTCTAGAGTCGATTTGATTGATAGATCGGCTAAATCAGGAAACTAATTTAACAAAACAGAAGCAAAGTTTAGAGAATATTTGAAAAAAAAGTTGTTTTTTTCTTTTGTCAAGAATACTTCTTTGTCTTACTTGACTCAATAGTAAATCAAATGTACGAGAAAAACGAGGCGATGACGACGAAGATGTCATACATCTCATCTTCGTTTTAAATTCTGTGCGTCGTCGCATTTGAATAGAAGAGGAAAAGTGAAGAAGATACTAATACATCGAAGTCTTATACATATCGGTATAGATAATAATTTTTTTTCTGTTCTTGTTCATCTCCTCGTGGCAATATCACATATGGCTGTATAATTTAGTTGCAAGAATGATTGTAGGAGAAAAATAGAAGCCGTATTTACTGTTTTATTATTTGTAATTTTTGATTCTTACGACTTTTGTTTCAAGTGCGTCTTCTATGTATGAAGTAAATAAAACAAATGATTGTTTTATGGTTTTTTTCTTCAAGAAATCCAAATGAAGGATCACGCACATAGGCAATCATTGAAAAAAATCAATAAAAACAAAAAAGAAACTTACGGTAGAACAACATAATTGTAATAGAAGAGATAAAAAAAATAAAATGAATAAATGTATACGTGTTGACGTGTTGACGTGTACGCCTGATTGAATTTATTTCCAACGTGAGGGAAAAACACACGTAAATAGCTGTAACCATCAAGTAATCGATACAATCAAACAAAATGACAAGCTGTACAAGGCCGAAATGTATGTACGTATTTTGAAAATCGAGCAACGAACAAGAGCGTTATTCATACAAAAATAGAAGCCACGTATGTCATGTTATCGAAAGAAGCAACTATGGGTCGAGTGAGTAAGTAATCTTGTACTTTTATTCTAAAGTTGAAAACTTTGGACTAATAAATGTGATTAGTTTTAAAAAGAATTGTCGTAAATTTAAAGCAATTAATCGAAGTTCATGATATTGCTGTCTATCAATATTATTTAAGATTAGCATCGAACCATCTACTTTATAATGATCAGAAAAATAATTATATGCCGATTGTCGTTTGATTCGGTAGTCGTTTAACATACTTAAATAGTTTACAGATTTTTGTATTTCATTATTTTCATTGGAGAATATAAGAATTTGTTGTGCAAATTCAAGAAATTCATGAATATATTCACGTATTGACTGTCGAAATTTTACTAAATGATTATTTTGATCTATTGCAATCGGACACGAATGACCTTCATTCCATAAAATACTGTCTACGGTGCCTTGTTCAACTTGTTCAAGTTTCATTTCTGATAACGGATAATCGTCGAGCAGTTGACAAAGGCTAGCTAGCGTTTGAATTGTTGTTGGTATCTGTTGATATATCTTAGCTAATGTACGACGTTCAAATGAATTTGATAATGGAATTGATGAACTTGCTGATCTCCTATCGTCTATTTGAGAATCAGAACGAGAATGATTTTCAGAAAAATTTTTATTCATTGTAAATGACATACAGTAGAAAAACGATGTAAGAAAATCAAAATGTTTCATAGCGCGAAATTCAAAAATGTATCTATCACATAGGTATTACAATTTTGAATAAATTTCCCGAAAACGATTCGTTCAATTGCCAAAAAATTCTCTCTCATACATATTTTTTTTGACAGAGATAGAAAATCGTTGGGTGCTTTCATCCATAGACAGTTCACCATGATAAACTTCAAGTGGGATTGTCGTTGTAAGAAGTAAATCTTCTTATATTTATCTTCTACAATAAATTAATAATTACTGTGATACAGATTATAATTATATAACTATTGAATTACATTTGAATAAAATATAATAATGGCGGTTTCTTTTTAACCTTTGAGGCATATTTTTGCGTAGGTACTATTAGCATTTATTTACATCAATATATCGCGACATCTTTCAGCGGAACATAACGTGAAACCGACTTTGCAAAAAAAAATTTTTTTTCTACGATAAATATTCTCGTGCTTTCTTTTTTCGTTCCTGCACATGTTTTCAACAGTCTACTAGCAAAAGGGAATCCAGCATTTTTTTATTCTACGGTATTCTGTATGTAAAAAGAAAAATCTTCCTCGCATCTGAGTTATGAAACAAAGTTATTATACTTAGGCAAATAGAAGGTATTCTACTTCAACGAGTAATTTTCATATTCAGATGATAAAAAGCACACTCTTACTTATTATTGTTATCTCTGTAACTGTCATTAGTGAAGAAAACCATGACGATACCGTATCTATTCCCATTGATGGTACACAACAAAAAATAAATATAGCATGTCTATGTACTGAAGATGAACAATGTGATTCAAATACTCGAACTTGTCGACTAACACATCCTGAGCATGTTTGTTATGAAACTTGGACGAAAGAGAACTCTGATAATTCTATTCATCTTACGGCCGGGTATAAAACATAGATATTTATGTATTTACTTTACGATCTATATTTTATTCGTTTAGATGTATCTATAATGAGTTCATTATTACACGAATTATGTGTAACGGTAATCAATCCGACCGATTTATTATTTGTTGTTCAGATAAAAACTATTGTAATGATCGTGATCAATTCGCAAGTGATATACGAGAGACTCTTGGAGGAACAAGTAATTCTCAATCTGCATAAAAATGCATGTCCATAATTATGATGCTTGTCTTTTAAGAAAAAGCTAAACCTGATTATTTTTCAAAGCGATTAATGATCATTATTATTATTCTATCGATTCTTTTACTTGTTGTGATATTTGTATTTATTGCAATTCATATTCAACGAAAACGGTATGCACTCAAAAACAAAAGAATTTTAAACGCTTTCGAAGAATATTGTTTTTTCTTTTCGAAGAAATTCCTCGAATTCTAATCAAACTAGACAATCGAATAGAAAATCAGGTATACTTGTATCATATTTGCCTGGTTCAAAACATTCAATATCAAATGGTGATAGTGATTCCAATCCGGATGAAACGCCCAGCAATTCGAATGAATCCAGTACGTTATCTTAGAAAGATGTTTTACTAAAATTCAAAAAAATGAATTTCTTTTTAGGAGTTCTACTATCACCTGGAAGTTTTGCAACTGAAGTAACATTAGAGAAAAAAATTGGTTTTGGCGCTTATGGCACTGTTTATCGTGGTATATGGCATAATGATCCAATCGCTGTAAAAATCCGTCTATCAAATGAAGAATGTTCATGGATACGAGAAGTTCAAATTTATGAGGACTTTCATTTAAATCATCAAAATATTCTTCGATACATTGCAGCCGACAATATAGTATGTAAAAGCAGTATCATAGAATTTTTAACTTTACTAATGAATAATACTAAAAGCTAGAATAAAGGGTCGATATGATTTGCGTGCATAAGAGAACACTGAGATATATTTGACCTTTTCACGAGCACAAAAAAAAACCATGAGACCTATCGCACAATGATTGCTATGTACTGATAATAAATCATGAAAAGCGAATGCGCCTGTTATTTTCTTTATCATGCCAATTTGTTTTCAAAAAATTTCTGATAGCTTTGTAGAAAATATTACAGCTGAAACAAGTGTAAATCCTGATAGATTAGTATGAAAATTTCGTCTTCATCTTTCTTAGAATGAACTGAGTGATCTTTTAAATCAGTAAGTTTAGTAGTCATCGATCATAGTAAACAAGAACGGCAGTCAGTCATATGATAAATAATTTTGACCTCAAAAGACATTTCAGCACGTCATTTAGAATAATTAGCATTCTATCATTTCCATGTGCGTGACTCTCGGAAGTTTTTGCGCATTGTTGTTGATTTCCTTACGTCATGCGTAAAATTTAAATATCCGGATAGAGACGAACAGTGTGACATTGTCATCGACAGTGACATCAAATAAAATAATAGGATATCGGAAATCATCATCATCATTTATTGAAATTCACTTTTGCATCTGAAATAAATGCAAACAAAATATGATTAGATAGTATTCACTCTAATCGTAATCAGTTATAAAGCCGCTTATTTCTTAGAGAATCATAATTTCGATCGATTGTCATGAATAGAAAAGAAAAATCTACTTTCGTTTCATTCAAGGACTCTTCAAATGGTATGGAACTTTGGATAGGTACAGAATACCATGAAAATGGTTCTGTTTATGATTACCTTAATAATCATACAATAACAGTTCCGATTATGATCACTATGATGTACACTATCGCTGATGGTCTTTTTTATCTACATAAATCGATCGTAGCGACAAATGGTTCGAACTTTTTCTTCTTCCGAAATTCAACTAGTTTTTATTTATTTTTCTTTTCTTTTCAAGGGAAGCCGGCTCTTGCACATAGAGATATTAAAACCAAAAATATTTTAGTTAAAGATGATTTATCATGCTGTATAGCAGATTTAGGCCTTGCAGTTCGAGAAATTCGTCTAAACAGCAATGAATTGCTTAATCATAATCAAGAACCTTCTGTTATTGACATAACTCCAAATCGTCGTGTTGGCACTATACGTAAGAAGAGAAAAGCTCGAAGAATTTTATGCATTTGGTTGTTTAGGTTACATGGCCCCGGAAATCCTTGATAGGTCATTCAATGGTCTAAGCTTTGAGTCATATAAAGCAGCTGATCTTTATGCATTAGGACTTGTTTATTGGGAAATATTACGAAGGTGCCAAACAACACCTGAAGGTTTGCAAACTCATTTTTCTCTTTGAAATATTTTTTCTATCAAATTATTTTCAATTAGAAAATGATGCTGATGTATATCAAATTCCTTATGTAGATGTTTTACCGAATAATCCAACGTTTGAGCAAATGCAAGAAGTTTTATGTATAAGAAAAATTCGACCACCACCTTCACCTCGATGGAAAAATCATTCAGTAAAAAGAAATTTATTATTCACATAGAATGAACAAAGAAAATTTCTTTTTTTATTTAGATTTTTAGTTCTATATTTGGTTCATGCGAAGAACTATGGGCTGAAAACCCAGCATGTCGGCCGAGTAGTTGTGTGATTAAGGAGCAACTGAGAAACTATCGAAGTCAATAGATAATAAAGTGTTGTATATAAACCAAGTGAATTTCAATTTTTTGGTACGATCATTTTGAAAAATTAAAATCATATTCAACTATGATTCGCATTACCGAGCTAGGTAATCTGAGCAGCTCATACTTGAACTTACTAAATCTACCAGTGGGCGAATTCGTACGAGTCTAAAGTTCTAATTTCTACTAGCACAACTGTACAATGAGAGAGTAGTCATGTGGTTCGAAACTTTATTTCATAGGAAATTCAATTAGAGTCTGATAAAAACAAATTCATGTAGTAAAACTGCATAACAATAGAGAAATTCGAGTCACTCATTGTTGTAGAACGATTGTGATATTATAAAATCTAATCCAGACTAGTATTCGTGGAATTTCGTTTAAAAAAGAATTTTCAGCGAGTAGACATGCAAGGCGAAAGAGAACTATAGATCACATAAAGCTTGACTGAATTATCCAGAACGATCAATGAAAATAAATATTATAAGTTGAATATCTCGACAATCTGAATCGTACGAAAAAGTTGTAATTCACTAAAATATTTCATTCTAAAAAGCACATCCGCCGATGGCATATTTTAGAATGTGCTTTGTATTTTGTTGTGGACAGTATACTATTGTCCTTGTATCAGTTTTGCCGAACGAATCTAAACTATTTTTGTTACATTTTATAGCTAACTATTTTCTACTGGAGTATTTTCTCATACTTGCATCCATTGTGTTGTTCTTCATTGTATGCGAAAACAAGAAAAAGAAAATTCACCATCAACAAGCTTTGAAATCAATTTGTTATTTATTTCAGTATCAGTAGTCATTTGGGTAAATGAACAATCTTTCAACGTCACAAATCTTGGCATTCTATCGACAATGAGATTACAAGGATAGATATAGGAAAACTGTAAGAAAAACATAAGCTGAATCCGTATATGATTGCTCAAAGTGCTCTGTTTGCTCTATTGTAATTCAATTATCAGATAATTGCTAGTGTGGGTCAACCCATGAAAACAATGATTGAATCAGAATTTCCACGCGTACGGTGAAAGATAAGCTAACGATGAAAAATGATCATCCGAATATCACCGATCTATTCTATATCAAGTGAAAGCTCTTGCTGTATTTATAGAAGTCTATTTAGATAGTTTCTTGGTACTGCTGTCAACAAGCAGAGGATATAAGCTAATTCGACTGAAACTGTTGCTAACGTTTCCTTTTGATGATGATGATCGATAAAATGATTTTTGCGTAAATGACTTAGTAAAAAAGTGATATGAAAAATACTATCGTACAAGAATCTCTGTATCATTGTACAGAAACAAGAAACATCGAAAGTTGTGATTTTTCATTCATAAATATGCTTTTCTCTTATCACTATAAATAATATAGAAAATATGATTTGATTCATTGCGTTTGGTTTTGTGAATTCAACCGATTTGTAGTGCTTGTATCATTCTGATGTTTTAGGTTCCTTGAATTTTCTATCAGATGAAACATATAGTTCATTTGATTCAATCCTATTCATATAAATGTATCTAAGAAATATTCTCTAGATTTCTAAATGAGTAAATTACCGACACATAGAACATCATTATCGCCACCAAAATCAGCTTTTCGTCGATCACTCACCCCATCAAGTCCTCAGCGAAGAAGTCCCTTTAGAGAAGATACACCGAATGGTGAATTGAGAATTGATGATCGAGTTACCGTTCGTGGAGAGTCGGGCACAGTAGCATTCATTGGTTCAACAAACTTTGCTGCAGGTTTGATTGACTGTTTAATCATCTAATGCATTCAAGATTTTGTAAACTAGGCGAATGGATTGGCATAATTCTTGATGAAGCTCACGGCAAAAATGGTAAGTATGGTTTCAAGAGAATTTGTTGACTCTTATAAACTACCGATATACATTTCTATGATGTTAAATGAATGAATCTCTATTGGAAGCACCAATCCATTCTTCTCCGATTCATAATACATTTTTGTTTTGTTTCGAGAAACGGATATATTCAGTAGTAATAAGAACATACAGATAGGACTTTTGAATTTAGAGTTTAACAAAACATATTTGTTTGAAATTCCTTAAAATAGCCTAATCACAATATCGCAATATGATCTGAGATATGGTGCTTCCGATTAGGACTCAGTTTTGTACTTATACAATAGCACGATTCAGGAAAGAAATCTATTTGTTGCTTTTAGATGGTACACATGGCGGTATTCGCTATTTTGAAACGGATGCCAATCGCGGCCTTTTCTGTCGGCGTGATACAGTTCAACGTTTATCACTGAATGGTGCTTCTCAAAGAAACTCAGTATATACCCCATCAATACTTCCTACTATAGGTATTCATCGACAATTTTCTTACGAGAAAATTACATTATCTCTTACAAAAAAAAGCAGAAGACTTGTTTCACACTTTTCACTATAATGACTTGAACAAAAAAAGCTATTTTTAATATTCATAAAACTCATTTGTTCTATTTACTAGAAGAAACCAACAATGCAACCAATCACCCACCATCCACTATAAATCTTGAGCTAGATGATCGAGTCATTATTCGTGGAAAAAAATACGGTACTCTAAAATACATTGGTAAATTTCATGTCGATGATGGTATATGGTGTGGTATTAAATTAGATGATCCATCGGGTAAACATGATGGTAAAGTTGATGGCATACGATACTTTAAATGTCAACATCGATATGGCGTACTTGTTCCTTTACATCATGTTGAAAAAGTCGCCAGTAATTCGAGCGACTCACGATCATTTCAAAGACAATCGATGATTTCCACCGATTCCTTTGATCATTTTCGTGATTCACCTAGTCCAAATTCGAACATTTCCGAAATTTCAAATTCACCAAACAGTATGAATTTGTTTCCACCGCGATCACCGAAAAAAATTCCGCAACCTAATTTTTCTACTGATTTAAAAACAATCAGAACCTTGTCATCGCCAGCAGAAGTATCAAATCTACGTGAAAAACTGAATGAAAAAGATAAATCGATTGAGAAATTTAAAAAGGAACACCAAAAGGATCATTTAGAACTTTCAGAATCATTAGAAAAAATTCATAGCATGAAACAACAAATCACAACATTACAGCACCAATATGAAGTAAAAGAAAATCAAAACGCACATTTAATACAAGAGCAAGTTCAATTAAGGCAACGCTTAGAAAATTTACAATTTCAACTTGAAGAATATCAATCTCCGGAATCGAATCTAGAACAGTTAATTAATGATCCTCAACTAGTATTGTCTGTCAACGGAATCGAAAATTTCGCAGAAACAAATGAAAAACTTGCTCAACTTGAAACTATTAATCAAATTTTAACAGATGAAAAAGAATTATTGCAGCAAGAATTAAAACAACTACATGAAATGAAGGAATCTGAAACACAAGCAAAGACATATATTGATGAATTAGAAAGAACAATCGAAACATTCAAACTTCAAATCGCTGATCTTCAAAGTAAAACTAATCAATGGAACGAAAAAGAAACATTCTACAAACAGCAAATCAGCGAATATCAATCGAAGATGGATCAAATCACTAAACAAGATGAGAATGTAGGACTCCTTTTTTTTTTACAAAGCCTTTACTTTCGAGGAATCCTCTATGAAATTCTTAGAATCGACTAAAACTAACAACATTCGAACAAGAAAAATACACCAATGAAAAAAAAATTAAAGATCTATTGACTGAACTGAGACGATACAAGGAAAGTATTGTGCCTGATTTAGAAGAAGAATGTCAAATACTCAAATCAGAATTACAAAATCGAGGTACAAAAACCTTGTGTCTCTAAGTAAAACTTTTTTCTTTGATTTTTCGAAGAAGCAACATCTAACGTGACGCTTAGCGAACGAGAAACATTCTATGAAAAGCAAATTAAACAGTACGAAAATAATCTCAATCAAGCTATGCGAGAAACTCAAAATATTCAAACTGAATTAGCTAAATTAGAAACAGAAAAAGCTACACATGATGAAAACTTCAACACTACAATTAATACATTAAAGCAAGATTATGAACGACAATATGAAATATTAAAAGTGCAATTAACTCAATTAGAAAATAAAGGTTCGAATAAGTATTATTCTTAGTATATTCTAGTCAATCATTTCTATAGATCAAACCCATAATATCATCTTAAACGAACGTGTAGGTTATTATGAAATACAAATCAAAGAACATCAAATGAAAATAAATCAACATGTTCGCGAAATAGAATTGCTTCAAACTGAACTAACAAATTTACGAGAAGAAAAGTTAACCGATGAAAAACAATGGGAATCTATGGTGCAGAAGTTCAAACAAGACTATGAAATACTTCACGCTGAATTACAAGACCGAGGTTAAATTTTACAGCGATTTCTATTCTTCACTTTTTGCTTTCGCCCAGTAGATCGCACACAAAGCGCGGCTATAAACGAATGTGAAGTACATTATATATCGCAAATCAAAGAATTACAAATCAAAATAAATCAATCGTTTGTTGAAATCGAAGAACTACAATCTCAATTAACTAAATTTGAAGCAGAAAAAACAATCATCGAAAATCAATGCAAAGAAACTATCAATACTTTAGAACAAGATCATCAACGACAATCTAAAGAACTTCAAAATGAAATCGATGAATTAAATGAGCGAGGTTTGTCATTACTCTTATTTACTTGAAATTCTTTCTTTTTTTTTCCCCGATAGAACACAAAGCACATAGAGATGTTCATCAACGTGAAGCAGAATTTGAACAACAAATAAAAGACTATGAAAATCGAGTAGAACGTGGTCAACTTGAAACTCAACGAGTTCAAATTGAATTAGCTAAATTTCAAGAAGAAAAATCAAAACTCAGCAATACAGTTAATACATTAAAAGAAGAAATTGAAAAACTTAAAGCTGAATTGTTTGAGCGAGGTATGATCACTTTTCGTTTTTCTCGTGCTCGATTCTTGTTTGCCTATCTATCGTAGATCATCGTGAGCTTACATCAGTCGCACAACGTGATTATGCTTCTGAAATACGAATTAAAGAATATCAAATTCAGAGCGAACAGGATAGTCGCGAAATACAAGTTCTTCGAACTGAATTAACAAGTTTACAAGAAGAAAAGGCGACGCAGGAAAAACAACTCAATGATATGACAATAAAATTTGAACATGACTATGAAACACTTAAAAATGAATTACATCAGCGAGGTTTGATCAATGTAGTTTTGATAATCTTGATCTTTCCGAGGGCGCATCCGAAGGAAACATGATAATGACCTTTCTTTTTGGAATTATGAGGAAAAATTAAGCATACACTTTTTTGCGAAACCAGTTTTATCTGTAACGAAATTTTATCATATAGATCAAACACAGAACATGGCTATGAACGATCGTGAAATTCATTATCAATCTCAAATAAAAGAATTACAAATCAAGCGAGATCATTCACTCCTTGAAATTCATGATCTTCAGTCTCATTTGCGTGAATCACATGAAGAGAAAACTACTCTTGAAAATCACTTGAATGAAATCATCAGTAATTTAAAACAAGATCATGAACGACTAAGCAGCGAACTTCAAAATGAAATCGGCGAGTTAAATGAACGAGGTTTATCATTGTTTTTATTTACTGGAAATTGTTTCTTTTTTTGTCTTAATAGAGCGCAAAGCACATAAAACGGTTCATCAACGCGAAGCAGAGTTCGAACAACAAATAACCGACTATGAAAATAGAATCGAACAAGCTAATCTCGAAACTCAACGAGTTCAAATTGAATTAGCTAAATTTCAAGAAGAACAATCGAAACTCAACCATACCAATAATTCATTGAAACTAGATGTCGATAGACTTAAAATAGAATTACAAGAACGAGGTTTTATTACATTTTATATTTCTCTGCTCCACTTTTCTTCCCCCTATCTAATTATAGATCAAACACAGAATATGGCTATAAATGATCGTGAAGTTCACTATCATGCTCAAATAAAAGAATTACGAGAAGAGAAAATCACGATCGAAAATCAGTTCAATGAAACTGTCAATAATTTAAAACAAGATCATGAAAGACAATATGAAGCAATCCAAGCTGAAGTAGAAGAATTAAATGAACGAGGTTAGATCATATCATGAATTCGCATACATTTTATCATTTCCTTCATAGAACGTGGAATGAATCGAGCTCTTGAACAACGTGAAATAGAAATCGAACAGCAGATAAAAAATTTTCAAGATAAACTTGAACAAGCTAATCTCGAAACGCAACATGTTAAGTCACAATTAGTAGAATTACAGGATCGAGGTATTATTTTAGGCGTTTTTTGTTTCCTCTATCTACTCAATTTTCACTGTATAGATCAAACACAAAACATGACTATGAACGATCGGGAAATTCATTATCAATCTCAAATAGAAGAACTACAAACTCAACGAGATCAATCGCTTCTTGAACTGCAAGATCATCAGTCCCGATTAATTCAATTACGCGAAGAGAAAACCACCATCGAAAATCAACTTCATGAAACTATCGATTCGTTAAAACACGATCAAGCAAAAAAGCAAAGACAATTTCAATTTGAAATCGATGAATTAAACGAACGAGGCTAGTTCATATTATTCATTTTTAATAAAACTCATAATTTGCCATGATAGAACATGGAATAAATAAAGCTCTTCAACAACGCGAAGTAGAAATCGAACAGCAAATAAAAGAATTTAAAAACGAATTAGAACATGTTCACGGTCAACTATCCGAAGTACAACAAGAGAAAATGAAACTCGATGATATCAACAATACATTACAACAAAATTTGCAAAGACTTGAAGCTGACTTACAAGATCGAGGTTTACATTTGATTTCTTTGTTTTCTTCTTCTTCTTATCTTCCTCTTCACTCTGCTCTACAGAACAGACACAGAATATGGCTATGAATGAACGTGAAATTCATTATCAATCTCAAATAAAAGAATTACAAACCACGCGAGATCAATCACTTCTTGACATTCAAGATCTTCAATTGGAATTGCATCAAATGACTGATACTATCGGTAAACTAAATCAAGATAATAAAAAACTTCAAAATAACTTAAACGAAAGAGGTAAATTAGTCCTTTTTTTATTTCCTAAACTTTGCTTTTCTAATTTTAGAACATCAACAAAAACAAATTCTTGAAGAACATGAATTGCAATATAAACAACAAATTCATGAGCATCAGAAGAATCTTGAAGTTTCCAGTCAGGAGGTTGAAAATCTTAAATCGGATTTAGCAAATTTACGAGAAGAAAAACAAGAGAATGAAAAACTATTAAATGATTTAATGATGTCAATACAAGAAGATTTTCAACAACAAATTGAAACTTTGAAAACAAAAAATGTTCAATTACAACACGATTGTTTGTATTTCTATTCACATATTCTCGTCACTAAGATATATTGTCTATTTTTTGCCAGATGATACAACAACAAATCAATTAACCAAAGACATTCAGGATTTACAACAAAAAAATGAAACAAATGTAGAACAAATTAGTCAATTAAAAACTGAATATAGTCAACGTGTAAGTTATATTCTGCCTACAATAAACTATTTCGTTTTTTCTTAATATATATAGACGGAAAGTTTAACTCAAATAAATGAAAAACTTAAACAAGAATTAGACGATTTTAAAAATCGAAATAAACAAACTAACAGTCAGGATAGTAATCAAACTACTGACAATAATAAAGTGAACGATCAATTAATGAAACAATTAAATGATCTACAACAAATGTATGATGATATTCTTGAAAAAGAAGCTAATATGGAACAAAAATATGCAGAAGAAAGAAAAGCTCAAGAAAACATCATGAAAGAAAAAATTACTGAATATGAAACGCGACTTATCTTAGCACGAAGTAGACTTATATTTAGAAAATTTTTATTCGAATAGTGACATTTTATTTCTAGATGAATATATGGTCGAAATGCAAAATACTCAACTTGATCATGATCAAGAAGTACTTCGTTTAAAAAGTCAACTTCAAGAAGCTACTGCAACTAGTAAGCGCGAATTGTATTTGAACGTGATTTTATCCTAATACACTTTTATTTTTTTAGAGAAAAAAAAATGATTTACAATTTCTCCTAATTTCTTATGATTATTTGTGTGTCATTTGGATCAATATGTTATGCCAAACTTCTTTTTATACTCGATAACTAGATTATATATTTCTAATTATAAATAAACTGTAATCTAATGAATTTTTTAGACTTTTAAGTTGAAGAAAAAAAAATATTAGAATACGAAATTGAATTATTTCTAGAGCTTAAGACTTAACAATGAATGTCTACGTTTTCTCTACTAATGCTTCAACTCACATTGGTATTATTCAATATTGATCGATAACGAACAGTTTTAGTTTATACATCATGGGGTAGCCGATGCATATTCGTTGATGAGATGGTTGTCGATAAATTACTTTTTTATTTTTCATAAGTTTATTACACACAAGTGAATTGTTCACGGTAGCTAATAGTTTGATTCTTACAGGCAATATACGAAACTATATTTAATTTTTGTGAGTAATAATCTAAAACTGATAGGTTGAATTGGAAGAAATTTCCTGGCTCATTGACTGTCTTACTCAATGAATTCGTTGTATAATAGATTAGGCAAATGAAAATAATGAATCAATAGATATCTTTTACTTATGTTTCATATTTTGCATACTGATTAAAACATAGATAAAAAAATATTGGCATGAGGGTGTGGGGGTCAGTAGACAATAAGTATCATCCATTTTATTAATTCTTAATATTTATATAATTCAACATTAATCTAAAAGTACTGTGAATATCATTCATATAAATAGCTACCTTTCATTATATAAATCCAAGAAGTCAAAATCAAAGGTAGCTATAGGTATCATTTAAATCCATTACAAAAAAACAAATTGAACGCAAGTGTAACTACAGTATTTGTATATTTCTTTTCTTTTTTTTATCTAGTTTAATATCAAGTTCAAAATAAAATATTAACATTATTTATTTTTATGATTCGTCGCAACTAGAGGTGTCAGCCGAAGGATTGAACGGCGACGGCGGGCAACAATTTTCAATTTTTTAAAGATTTCCAGTGGCTCCTTATTTGAATGAGTAATGTCCTCAGCGGTGACGGATGACGCTATCAAAAATTTTTATCTCTTGCAGCGGCAACTCCCCAAAATTCTTAAAATTATCAGTAATTTGGTGACTGCGGCGGCTCAGCCGTACGGCTGACACCTCTAGTTGCAACGAAAAAAACGAAAAGCAAGAAGGAAACTGGCTTTGAGACGTGCTAGTTTAGTCTGTAATGTTGTCTTTAACAAAAGAACAAATAATTGTCAAAGTGTCTGTGCTTCGCCTAACAAAAAATAAAGTCTAAACAAGGGGTGTGGGTGTGAGTGTGGGTGTTGGTGTGGGTGTCGATGTGGGTGTTTGGGCAGAGAGTTTAGGTGCGACTCTTCATCTAAATACCCAAAGTCACCCACACCCACACCCACACCCAAACCCTTTGTTTCTTTTTCTTTTGTAAATATATATTGTGGGACAAATAAAAATGCATTATTTGAACATTGTTTTATATCGAATACAAAATGAGAGATTAGGGTGTGGGTGGTGGATTCATATCTTTGTTTACCCACATCCGTACAGATCGTGAACGACAACATCTCTACCTCGTCCTGCACCACGGTCTGTGACCAATTTAACCGTGGAACGAAAATTTTCTGTGGAATTACTATGAAAGAAGACAATCAATATATACAGGCCCAAAATTCGAATACACGCGATCATTGTAAAGATCGATTGACAACAAAAATTGGTGTGGCTTGCCTTGCTTAGCATAAGACCTATGCCCACACACGCACCTTGAACCATTTTTACATTTCACTAGCCGCACTGAGACCTTTTCGTGAGATCAATATGAATTCAAAAGGCAGGTATCATTATGGCATAGATCCCTGGTGAAAGCTATATTTTGAAAATAAGGACAGGATACAGAAGATAGAATGTCATTTTTATACAAGTATCGAATAAATAACGGCAGAAAAATTTGAAACAAATATTATAATATACGTATATATACATGGAAAAGTAGACACAGAACAAATTCATCTTGATCATTCACTTACTCCAGGCAGAGCTTGTAACACGTGACTGATAACAATCTGCGGTTGCGCTGCATCAGGCTTGACAGTCCTGGTCGATCAAAACGGAATACGTTGAAGGTCTGCTTTTCGTCAGCAAACGATGAAAGAACGGCTAGTTTACGGCCGTGTAACTGCATCAAGTATTTTAACCCATGCAGTCCGTTTATTTATCGTATTTTCATTGTAAACGGCCGTATGTGGACCGCACTGTTTGAGTTGGGAAATTCAAGTAAAATAACCGTCAGTTTCTTTGTCATCAAATTTGATATTTTTTCATTGCTGAAGAAATTGTTTTTAACAGCTGCTGGCTCTTCAGATTCTTTGACATACAAAAAAACCGACTCTACAAAGAAAATGCACAATCGAGTAATTTAAAATAATGTCATCATCAGAAATAAACTGAAATCAACACTTAGATAAGTGTTGTTACATGTTTTAGTCTATATCACAAACGTAGTGATCATTTGAAGTCGAACTATAATGAAAAAAACGTAACGGAAACCAAGTTCATTGAGCCTAGTAAAAATTATTGTTAAAACAGAAGCGCTTTTTATATAATAAAAAGAACATAAGAGAACAGTTGACTCACTGATTAATTCTTCACCGGTAATGATGTTTGTATTAGATCTCTTTCGGACAGTTGATGAGATTGGTAGCGTAGAACTCATTTTCTACATATATTAAAGAATATTTTTGAATAATCGAACTTTCTCTTGATTAAAAAGTAGAAATTTAAACAGAAAGCATTCCATGTATACATTTATATTAGTATTCTCGAAAGTTTCACTTGTTTCTCTGTGAACATTGTTATTTTTTTCTTCGATTTTGGTTCGTGATTTATTCATCTTGCTAAACGAACGCGAAGCGATAAACATGGCATGAAATGGACTCGAGATGTTACCAAATATCGAGTAAGTGACGTCGATCTGAGTGCTTTACTAGTCGACTTGTTGATTTAAGACAAGAATCGGTCGAACTGCTGGATGTGAGCACTGAATTTATTTATCTGTTAGAGGGAGCGGGTTGGGTGGGGTGCAACTAAGAACCTTGCCTTAAAACTTACACTCACCATTTTCCTAGAAAATATATGTCAGCTTCACAAAATAAAGCATTAATCAAATGCTTTTTTTTATATTCCATTATCAGTGGATCAATAACCTTGAATTCTGTAATAAAACTAAATATCAATAGTAAGATGACATATAAGTTCTATGATTCGTCTTTTAATTGATTATTTTTCTTTTATGAAATAAAGAAAGAAAACGATCATTCTCAAATGTATGGTATATTATACCGCGAGGGCTTATCTGAATTTATTTATTTATTAAGGATTTATTGTGATTCATTGATTATGACGATGTTTCAACACACTCACACCGTTATATTATCATTTTTCTCATTTGAATATTTCTCATATTCTTATGCATTAAAGAATTGTTGTCAGTCTGCTAATCGTTCATAAGTGTGTTGAAAAGACACTTTCATGAGCACAGGCAATATTTTTCATTAGCACAACATTAAAATCTATTAACCCTTTTTGTATTTTACAATTTTTTACTTCAAGCTTCTATTTTCATCGATACTTGAAATCGAAAATACAAGCAAAGCATCTAGTGGGGAAATGATGTTTCGGTTGGATTAAAAATGTTTATTTTTTTCACCAGAAATTACGATATTTATTTCTGAGCAATTGTAATGCAGCAAAGTTCTCTTATGAATAAATACTGTAGTATTTGTTTTTATCTTTCTGCATTAAAACATCTATGAATACAATAATTTATTGACATTAGATAAAATTTTATTCTGTTTAACAATTTTCGACATTATTGTGTAGTTTTGATATAAGAACTTTTTCAATTTTCGGTGAATGCTTGGTTTTGAAGTGTTTGATAATCATTCACACGTTCTTTTTTTGCTCATTTTCAAAACTTAAACGCACAATCAAAGGGTGGGGTGTGGATGTGGATCTTTGCTGTTTTGATATGTCATCACCCGCACACTCACATATTGATACAGTATTCAAACAAGTGTTAATGCTAATTGAATAAGTAATGCTCGTCATTATTGCATCCACATCCTCAAGATAGTTTTTGACTTGTTTACTATCTACAATGCAAGTGAGTTGGAAATTATTTGTCGCAGCAATGCATTGCTGCACTGACAGTCAACTAATACGAATGCTTCTACTTCAATTAGTCGTTCATTTTATTCTTACTCTACCATTTTTTCCAGTCTTTCTTATCTCGACTCTGCCAATTAGATTTCAATTTACTAGTGTTATTGGATAGAAAAGGCGCGAAAAAGAGGAGAGGGTTAATCACGTTGTTCTGTGAAAGTCAGTTGAATTGTTACTGCTCTCTTGATCGTGTCTCTGTTTTTCTGTTAACAATAAAACGATTCTTTAGCAAAAGCTAACATTTTGTAGCAGCGAAAAATGCCGATTGAAGGTACAAATTTAGAAAATTTACTGGAGCGAGTAATTCAAATGAACGCTATCATTATCGAAGAAATGCATGAAAAACGAAAATAAATACAAGCTCAAGCTTAACAGGCACTTTTTTCAACACCACTGCTTCTACAATCATCAACAACACCACTGCTTCTACAATCATCAACAACACCACTGCTTCTACAATCATCAACAACACCACCACTTCATTCATCGACTGATACACCATCACGATCAGTTAACAAGATAAATGTTAAACTGAAAGAATACAATGGAACAAGTGAAGAAAATGTAAGGGGGAAACATAATACTTCATACTTTACGTACTTTAAGATACTTCACCGTACTTTGCGGTACTTCACCGTACTTCACCGTACTTTGCGGTACTTCACCGTACTTCACCGTACTTCACCGTACTTTACCGTACTTTGAAGTACTTTAAGATACTTTAAGATACTTTAAGGTACTTTACCGTACTTTACCGTACTTTAAAGTACAAAAGTATCATGTTTCTCCCTTGCGAAAATGTCATTACCTGGTTGATAGCATTAGAGGAAATTATGAAAAATCGATGCATTGTTGACGATGAGAAAATCTCGCTAGCTGTGAGTTTATTAGGTGGTACTGCTTCACAATGGTTTGTCAACTTGAAATTGAAAAATCAAGGACCATCATCTTGAGGGTGTGAGGGTGTCAATCAATCAAAGATTCAAAGCATAACATGACGTTTCGTCCTTGCTTAAGGGACTCATCAGGTATCTTCAAAATCTAATATCAGATTTCAAAATTAACTATATATAAGTTATTTCTTCTAACTTTATTTTCTAATGTAGTATCAGATTCTGAAGATACTTGATGATGATTTGAAGAAGCTCCGATCGAAACGCGTCGTATATGTGATGAACATAGAGAGTGTCGCCTATGCCCGTCGGCATGATAGTGTATTGTGTCATCTGCGCATCTCTAGTCGTGCATTTCCTTTAGTTACATTCCCATATATACGCGAAAGCGATCACACTTGGGCGGATATAGACAAAGAGGAAACGGTCACGCAATAGAACAATGAGAGTTTATCAGGTCAATGCAGAAACATAGGATACAGCGAAGAGGATAAAGTATACAAAGTGAGCCGTAGCGGTAAATACCGTTACAGTATATACTGCTTTGAATCTAATATTTGAGTGCTTAACACACCCACACCTTCACCCTCACCCTATATATATATATATATATACGTGTATATATATTCTCACTTTCGATCACAAAGTAAAACGTTTTTTTTTCTATAGGAAAAATGATATCATTTATCGGAAGCATTTATCGCATTGAACGTTTCATCCATCCGCTACAAATTCGTTTTTTCAGTGGTGTGACGTGATCGGGGATCGGTATATTTGCGTCACTGTTTATTTGTTTAGCGTGTTCATCGAAAGTTTAGTTTTTAAGCATTCTTGACCTGAACGTCATTTTTTCGCTCGAAGCGAGCATTTATGTCACCAATCAGATATTTGTCTAATCCTTACTTGAGAGCACATGGGCAGCTATTCGTGGCTTATTAGAAGAACTATTGAATGAACAAGAAAACAGACAAATTACCGAACTGAATATCATATCAAATTTTCCATCAAGCCAGTATAGAAACAAAACCACTGTTTTCTTTTTAAAGCACTATGTGACCAACAAAAAAATTACGATGAGATGGCTGTTCCTCTCAAGTGGTCACGGTAAAGGAATAGCTGATGGCATTGGTGCAACTATTAAAAGATTACTCGATAATGTGGTTTGATTAAGTCCAGATGAGTCGTTCAAAGTTGCCGAGTATCTGATGAATAAAACGCAACCTTCCACAAACATTCGACTTTATATGTATCAAAAAGAAGATATCGATTCTGTGAAGAGACTTATTCCATTATTGATAACAATTAAAGGCACATCAAAGTTTTACGAAATTACTGTTAAACCAAATGGAGAAGAGTTTATTAAGAATAGATCAGATGAATCAGAAGCTTTGATAAAAATAAATTTTTAGATTTGCGCATTTTATTCTAAACATCTGTATTCTCTTCATGAACAATTTTGCCGATGAAACAATATCTACAGTTAACGCAAGTATTTATTTTCAGTTAACTCTGTTTTTCTCGAAATAAGCACTGATGTTGATGATGACTTTATTTCGCATGTTTTATCGCAAAGTCATGCTCTTAATAGCTTAGTCGCACAACGAACTTCTAAAAAGGTACGCTTCTGTGATCATAACATTTGTACTATACTGTTGTATATTCATTTAAATACACTCATAATGTTATTGCTATGTTTATGTGACTCTACTTTTCAAAATAATTCCATCGATACAGGCTAATAGTAAATAAAATCTTCACTTTAACAAATCTTATTGTGAATATACTTCCGATTTCTAAAATACCAAGAGATTTTGATTTATTCGCAATGAGCAGATTTGGCAGTCGGGAAAATACACGATTCATATACAACACACTACGCTCTATCCAATGCACATACCCATTTTCTCTTCTGTTCACTTTCATTTTTTCGAGTTGTTTTGTCAAACTGCACAATAGCAGCGAAAATCACCCATATACGTATATAGTACTACTGATAATAATTTTTTTCCTTATATTATTACCTCGATTTTTTTCAAATCCATTATTCGGAAAAAGGAACGATTTCTTCTATATACCGAACGATGCGTACACAATAAGAATATACTATGAAAGAACATTCAAGTATATTTGAATCAGATAAAAATTTTTGGGTGTTGCCTAGTCTGTTCATTTGACAATAAAATTTTCGCCCGGTGGCTCTGCATTTAATGGTATCATTTTATTGTTATTATTAGAGACATAGATTATGCTTCAAGCTAAGCAAAAAAAGAATACTGATATCGTAGTTGAATTCTAGAATAATAAACAATAAACAAGAGAAGCATGTGCAGAAAGTTCAAGTACACGTTCAAACAAATAATTATGATTCGATCCGTATTAATCACGAATACAATTCGCTATTCCATAACGGAAATCCTCCATTACTTAACCCACCAACTACCAAGACATCTCCATCTGGCAGTACTGTTGTTGTGTGGTAACCTCGCTCGTTATTTATGTTACTAGTTGTGGACCAAACGTCTGACACAGGATCATAAACTTCAGCTGTGTTCACATAGACACTATTACTTATTCCTCCAAGAACTAATACGTTCCCGCTCATTAACAGTGATGCAGTATGTCTTTGTCGTGGAATTGTCATGTTTCCAGTTTTGCTCCAAAGATTCGTATAAGGATCATAGATCTCAGTAGTACTAGTATAATAACTTTTAGAGAGTCTTCCACCGACAATTAGTACTCTTCCATCATTTAGAACAGTTGCTGTATGTCGAGATCGTGGAACATTCATATCACTAGTCTTACTCCAATGTCCTGTTGTAAAATCATACACCTCTGCGCTGCTCAAAGGACCATTCAAGGTTTCTCCACCTGCCACCAAAACGTTTCCATTGGCTAAAATAGATGCAGTATGTAAGGTACGATTAACACTCATGTTGTTAATTGTTGTCCACTCTTCTGACAGTGGATTAAAGATTTCGGCAGTATTCACACTGGTAATAGTGTTATTTCCTCCAACAACCAAAACTTGACCATTAGGTAATACAGATGCTGTATGAGTGTCTCTTGCCTCTTTCATACTACCAGTCATCGTGCACAGACCTGTATATGCATCGTATAGCTCAACACTATTTGGAATGCTGTCTGCACCCTTTCCACCAGCAATTAAGACTTTGTCATTTCTTAGTAAAGTTAATGTGTGATAGGCACGCGCAACCAACAAGTTTCCAGTTCTCTTCCACAATCCCGTGGAAGGATTGTATACGTGCGTTAAAACAGCAGCTGAGCTTCCACCAGCAATTAACAAATCACCATTACTTAACAAACTTGATCCATGTGCATAAAATCCACTTATAGTGTTGATATTTGAAACTCCTGTAAGACAAATTAAAATTATCACAAATCAACGGCTTTTCTTGTTTATCAATGTATAATCGAAGCAAGAGGAGCCTCTTCGAATGTTATTAACTATAAAGTAACTTAAATAAGCACATAGAACACAAGAGTGAACATTTAGAAACAGTCTCGTATAATAAACGACAAAATACAACACTCTAGATTTAGTTTGGATCGCTGCAGTGACTTTTCGATATCACGAAAATAGTTAGCTAAACCTCGACAGCAACTTTTAATTCTATTAAGATTCTGCATAAAATGAAGTTCAAGAAATGTTGCTTGTTAAATAAAAATTGCATATTCACAAAATCTCATATATTTTATGCGAGACCACTTATTTATATCGAAAAAAAACATCATTTTTAAATACTTCTTATCGTGACTAAGACTTACTAATCGCATGTTAATAGTATTTTTTATAATTTGTTCTTTTGAATTTATATTGTAATAGAATGATGTTTAATTACAGACTCATCAAATAGTTCGTTAGGTAATGAATCGATTGAACAAAGCAAGAAACATGTCGATTAAACATTTGCAAATAAGCGGATATCTCATGATATTCCCACGTTGAATTTCATTTTTACCCTACGCATATTATACTATATGTTGAAAAGCAGCTTGTGAGAACAAGTCTATGTTTAATTAGTTGTCTATTCGAGTCACTAAATTGTTAGATATTGAAATAAATAGCTTACGAGGAATAGGATATATAGCATCTGTTTGAGACAATGGACACCGTTCAGAAGAAGCTCGTGCCAGAGGATAGCAGACAGGCCCACTACAACGTGTGTTGTTTACACATACAGTATTTGGTGGTGAACATGCCTTGCCATTATTTGTACATGCTAATAAACTAGAACACGAAATTGCTGTATCAGCACAAATTCCTTGTTCAGTCAGTGTCATCCACAAACATTTACAGCTAGGATTTGTAGAACATGGTGTTGCGCCTGATTCAAAGTAAGGAGTGGGGTGACATCGACAATCAGAAGATTGTGCTTTGACTTTACCATGATCTAAAAAAAGTGAATAAACAAGAATAAACTTATATTATTAAATAATTTTCAAGATTTAATGTTTCAGCCAAAACCATCATAATCAGTACTTCAAGATTTATCAGTTGAAAAGACGAGAGTATATAAACCTCGAAATAGCACAAAAAGAATCTTACTTGTCATGATATTGAGGATATTTCTGAAAAAAAAAAAGAAACACAATTATAATTATATTGCTTTGTTTGAACACAAGTTCTTACAGTGTTATTAGTATGTGCACGACCCATTGTTTCATTGCTCTGATGGACTAAGTACCGTTAATCTGAAAAACACAATTGATTGGCAGTTCTTGTTAAGATTTTTCAAAATCAAAATGTTTCCCACATTACTAAACTACTCAGAATTAAGTTATATCAGAAATTACTTAGTAATTTGGATGATTACGCAAGTTTTCAAAATTTCTTTGCCTTCACCTCAATGTATCTATGATAAGCCCTATAAAGATATGCACAGTCACCACTGCTAAACTATAAGCAATTTTAGAGAATTTCATAACTTTTAGGTATTTCTTGACACTTTCTGAAGTATCAACATATTCTTTTAATTGATACGGATAGATTGCCTCTATCTCTGTGACTCTAATCGCGCCATTGAAAGAAAATGAATATTTGTAATTTGTTTCGATTTCTACAAGCACATACGTATATATATATGTCTTGTTGAAGTTATACTGACTGCTTGAGTTTTAATTTCGATAACAATGTTGCTCAAGTTACAATTTAAATGGATAAATTCATCAAAGTTATAATCCAGATATTCATACTTAATCAAAGCTATTTTTCATAAGGAGGTCAGTATAATTCTGTACTATTAATATAATTATGTGATCGGCACATACTTGTAGTTTGAAACATTGCAGTATCTTAGTTTTTACTCAAATATAAGTCCAAATTAGAACGAAAAAGTAGGCTTGCTACTTATACTCGCAATATATTAACAGTAGAGTCGAACTACAACTGTGAAAGGAGCTGGTGTGTGAAGGGCCCAAATCTGCCGCGCTGCTCAAGTATTGTTTTTATTTCCTAGTTTTGTCGCTTGAACCCTAACATACTTTGACAAACCGTTTTTTTTCCTCGAGAGTCTTAGTTATGCAGATAAGCTAATATTTCCATGATCAAATCGCATGGAATATACATGGATATGAAAACGTGGCGTGGTATTTTCTAAACTACAAAACAATGTGTAATGATGAAAATTTGATCAAAGCTTGCTTAAATGCCCCACTTTGATTTGATGTCATAATAACCCCAAACAATTCAATTGAAAGTTTCGTGAAGTGCTTGAGAATTATCATGTGTCATAATTTTCAGTTTGAATTTTGTTTTTATTTGATAATGAAATCTATCAACAACTCATTCTCCAACAAAATAAATATCGTATTTGGAATCAGCATCACCAAATGCGTAAAATAACATACTTCTCATTGGAAAAATGATTGTTCAACAAAACCACCCTTTGGGGGTCCTCAGTCGATATGTTCTTGACAGGGTAGTTGAGGAGAGTATGAATGCTATTTTGACAAAATTAGTTTGCGTAAAAAATGTTATTCTGCATGTTTTTGTGACGCTGGTTCCCAGTACGATACTTATTTTGCTAGAAAATGAATCGTTGATGATCTCCGTCATTAAAAAGAAGCAAAATTTGCCCTGAAAATCATGACATTCGAGAATTCTCAAGCACCATATGGAACTTTGAATTGAAGCATTTAAAGTTATGAGAATATAAAATGAAAATGGAACATGTAAACAAGTTTTCGAAAAAGGTTCATGAACATACATTGTTTTGTTGTTTAGGTAATGCCACACCAAGTCGTCTTATACGTCTACATACTATATAATTCACGGCGGTACTCCGGGTTTTGTTCGATCCTTGATAAGTTTGAAACACTGGTGATAATGAGAAATTAGAAGATCTTTATGACTGCTTTTGAAAATGAAATTAGAAATTTAAAACCTTCTTTCATAAGGGAGCAAAGTGCCGATTCTCGATCCCGATTGATCTTATGATTTGATTATAAGAATATTAGTTTATCTAAGAAGCTGAGTCTGTCAGAGAAAGACACTAGTTCTCAATGTATATTAGGGCACAAGCTACAAAACTAGGAAATAAAAAGAATACTTTACCAGAGTGGTAGGTTTGTGTTCTTAATACGGGGAGTCTTTTTGACAAACCCATCAGACTTACTTCAATCTTGTTATGTAGTATAGAAGTGATAATCATCCATGTGAATATCAAGTATAATTGACTGGGTTTCTTCATGAAACATTTGGTTTTACTAAATATCTTTTGGATAGAGCAGAAAAATCTCATATCGTCGTTAACGTCCTTTTCTCATTGTTATTATTCTGATGTTTGAAGTCGCGTCACAATCAATTGACACAGAATTTCATTCATTTCTGAGCAGATTTTCAATTTCGCTAAGTTAAAAACAAAAAGTCTAAAAAAGGCAGTTTTCCATATCTTCTTTAATCATTAATAGATATTTTTTAATATTAAACAATTGTGCATTAATTACCAAGGTCTCGAATTTCGAACATACTCTGTAAATTATTGCCTACGTAGTTATATTATGGATTTTTATCGATTTGTGTATAAGAAGCAATTCAACAGGATATGAATATCTAAAATACAAATTTGATAAAGGACCTATTGAATTCATAAATTTAATAAGAATAAGCGCCGAAGTTATAACTCACAGAATCGATGTAACTTTGCCACAGCTTACACATACAATGATAATGAGTTAGAGAGATCAGGTCTATCTCAAATAAATCGATGAATTTCTGAAATTTCAGTAATTTCTGAAATTACTGTGCAATCTTGGTGATTGGGTAAACCTCAGAAATGGCTTTTTTCATATCTATATGTACGAGAATGTTTCAAGGAATTATTCTAATTTGTGAGGAAACTTCTATTTTGAAGGGTCATCCAAATATAATGATTAGCCGGTTTTGAGGATACATGTTTATGAAACTGATAACTAAAGGATTTTCTCATATTTTAGGATTGATCTAAATGACTTTTGATAAAAGTTATCAAGTTTGCGTACGCTGAGTTTCAATCTAGCCATCAATATTTGAAACACGAAGAAAAGCATAATTATACTATACTGAAAGCATCGCTCTGGAGTTTTTCTATTCTAAACAAAATACTTTTGAGTCAGCAATTTCATCTTACCAAATGTAACGTTGACTGTCGGTAATGGGTTTCTCAATGAAAGGTTGAGGTATATATATGCATACATTTCATATGATTTCATCAAGACGTAATTTCGTCATATTCAAAATCAACGATCCATAACAGTGTTTTTTCCAACATAAAAGAAAAAAGGAAGCGTGACAGGCGCAAGTCGCATATGTGACGTTTGTTTATATTAAATACCAAGTACAGCCGTATTAGTTAGTGTTGGCTTTTTCCGCGAATATTCGCACTTAAATTATGTAATTACAACAAGCGGCTTTTTTATATTATTCATGTAGAGAAATAGCTCTTGTACCACTTTATTATCAGTATGACTTGATCGTAGAACTGAGAGCGATCTATCGATTTTCATGTCTCCAAATTTACATGCTAATCTTTTCAAAACAAGATCAGAGAACGACAGTAAAATGTGATTGAACGAACTAATTTTATCTGGGAATGCACACTATGTGATGTTCACTACTTCGGTTACGCTACCAAATTTCATTAATAAACTTTCCCTTTTCTCTTAAAGTTTCCTCGTGAGGATTTTCACTGTGTGCACATTTACAAAAACTTTGAAAAAGCATATCCTCTATAGTTTGCATGTGGTGTCGATTTTTTGTGAAATATAAGAAGCTACGCATGACTAAAGCACAGTGGAGGTTCGGTTATTACTCATAAAAACAAACGGATAAAGATATTTTTATGAAATTACTGATTGGAAAAAATCCAAAATATCGAATGATATATTGTAAACTATCTGTCGATTGTAATTAACATTAGAAAACGGACAGGATCTTTTTCTCTTCGTTTATTTGACAGAAAAAGGGAGTGATTCACGTTTTTTAAGATTAAAACCGTAGCTGAAATCTCTTAAATTAAACTCAACTGAATTCAGCCGAAAAAAACGAATTTTAAAGCCGGATTGAACCGAACTATATTTTTCAAACCTCTATGTAAGGTTATGGACAGAAAACACTCTCTACAGGAAGTAATCTACCATAAATCAGATTATATTGATTGGGTTTGGTTATTTTAATTTTGAGTGTGGACAAGTGTTGGTCTTAGAGAGATCAAACTACTCAAACCTTGAACGAAGAGATCAATAGAATCGTTTTCGAAATTATCGGCCGACTTGAACCCATCCGAAATCGAGATTTGTTCCGAAACTTTTAATCTAACGGAACCGGAACAGAAGTCAGTTGAAAAGTGAAAAATTCAACCTATCAGTTCGATACAGTTCGTTGCGGAAGTGTTGTGCGCCGGTCAGAGATCAATGCATACAAGAAAAACTACAGACTTCACCCACACCCACACCCTCGCGATGAGTATAATGAACAAAAGATTGCTTTATTTACATTCCATAATATTTTGTGTAAAAGTTATTTATTGCTGATTTATCGGAACCACAGAGAGAATCATGAGTTTAAAATGCTGAATATCTATAAAGTTTAAACTCCTACTTATTCAAGTGTCTTTTTACGCCATTCCCATAGGAGTAGAATGCATTCAAAGACTTAAAAACTTAAAACTGAAATTTAAAAAAAGAAAACTAATTATTTCAGGGTAGTCAGATGTTTATCATGAGTATATATAATTATGGCAGAGATTTCATAATTTTTCATAAAAAATTATCCAAAGTCCACAACATGCAAATGTATATGTGAGAATGATTGTTATAAACGCGCAGTTGTAAGCAGTCGGGTGACAGTACGTATTTGTCTCATTGTGATTGGTGAATTGCACTGTTGATTGAACACTAAACACCCAAACATTTCCCTTTAGCATAAAATTAAAGTTTAACAGAAGTCAAAATCTTAAGTATTTAAAATGTTTTTCTTACAGCAATAAGCCAAGCCAAACTAAATAGCTCAAATAAAACTTTCAACGCTAGTAATACCAATCTTCCAGATTCTGATACACATGCCTGAAATGTAAGAATTACATGTATATTGTTCAATGACATTTAATTCGAGTAAAAATTAAAAAATACCTACTTGACCCATGGAAATAATAACATATACTAATCCAGTCACACCGGCAACAATCAAATATATTGGAATAAGATAATTAATAGAGCACTCATCTTTAAACAAGCTTCCAACAATTAATTGAGTTAATGGTATTGCACTTATCAATGCAATCAGAAAAATAATTAACCAAAATGTCAATGATACTGTTAACAGAGTAGCAAAAAATGATTTTAAACTTCCAAATCGACTGGTCTGAATTAGTGAAGGTTGGGTAATTATTGGTACTTCAGCACGCATTTCGACATCCATTCTAATATTACCTCAGTAAAATCTACAATGCTATTGAAATACGGATAAATTTAAGGTTTAGAATCAGAATCATTCATGTTCTATAACGTCTAATTGCTATTCCTGAAAGTATGTTGAGTCAAATTACAAAAAAGAAACAATATGTGCCGAGCAGAGCTGCATTGATGAAATTGTCGTGAGAAACAGTCTCACCTTTTCTACATAAGGCCATATTTATGTTTGCATACACGAATGCGTTGTCTTTTCACTTTATATGTAATTGCAGTAGGTTTGGATAAAAATAATGAAATATAAGATATAGGTAGGCTAAAACTTCATACGTGAAATGAGTCAAAGCTACTTTGGAGGAAGTGATAGTAAATATCAACCAACATCATACAACGATGTAAACTGCTTTCGAAAATGACTCTGATGATATAGTCATATCGAATAATACTGTTTGTCTCTTACCTATTCCTTTTTAATAAAGTCGGTTTTTCTCATATACTGTTCCTATAAATGAATAGACAGTGGATAGAAGCTCTGTGAGAAACTTTTCGAACTTTATCAATCAACCTAGTCATGATCGTGACTTAGTTTTGAACAATCGATAAACTGTTTTCAGATGTAAAGAAAAAAGCAATTCTCTTCATTTCTGCAAAGCATGTTACATCTCAATTCTACTGATCACAAGTTCAGAGCAAATTTCAAATAATGTTTTTCGATAGCTGACAGTTATTAGTCAACATTGACTAACGAGAGAACATATTTTTCCACATGCGTCATTTAATACAAATGAATCATACTATAGTCTACTTCCTACCTAAATCAAGTCATTAATAAAAATTACTCAAAAGAACACGCGGCTTTTTGTAGTTTGACGTATTTTTCGATAAAGGTTATCTTCTTAGCGAAATCCTACTGAATATCAAATTGCTGATTTATGATCCGTATCTTAAATCTATGCACGAATGAAGTTCTTTATCTATAAATAAAATCGATTCACTACAGTAAAATATAGAAACATGCATGCAAAATTTCGAATAATAGTTAACTTATATTCTTACAGAGGGTCACTCATAGTCAATTCAAGCTAAATCATAGTTTAAGATATGACAGAATTTCTTTCTCTGATAAATGCTTGCTTTTATTCACCTATTTGTAGTGATCGGCGCGCATTAATCGTAAACCAGTGAAAAATAGTCAAATTATATTAGATTCTATGAGATTCTCATCAGATTTTTATGCACCAAAATCCGAAATATAATCGATTGAAATCTTTGAAATCAACAACAATATGATTTTTAATTAGACAATAATCTTGCAAATCCAGAAAGATTTCTAAATAAATTCTTGTAGTTGGGTGTTACCATGGGAAATCGCCGGCCGATTCAGCGATCACGCCCAAATTTGTTAAAACTTGCAGAGTTTGTAGAGAACTTTGCGCTGATCATTTTGGTGATAAATTTATTGCGCTTTGATTCTGTTTTCGTAAAGGTGAGGGTAAAATACTAAAAATGCTTTTTTCATTATTTTGGACACATTTTGACGAGTCCTTTATCAAAATAAGAATGAAAGTGCTTCTTAGATTACTCGAATTTTAAAACCAAATACATATTCGGATGCATCGTAGGAGATTGCATCAAAATCATAAGAAATCAAAATAATTTAATTGAATTTTTATACGATTCCTTAGGTCGCTATATGTAGAATATTGTTTGGAAAATCAGTCTTTTGAGTTGGAATGAACCAGAACATTGGCTTTATCAGTTTTATAGAGATGTTTTCGCTGATCATTTTGATAGTAACACATACAATGTTCTGTTTTATTTTCTTACCAATACACGTCAATCAATACCAAATCCTACCGTCTCTTTTTCCTTGTAATTCATAAAAAATAACAAAATTCCTTCAAAACAATAAGAAGACCATCAATTCAATACAAAAAAAACGTTTGCCGCATCATAAACAAGTCAGTTAAGTCCACAACGTTAATTTTCAAAACGTATGTATCTTTTTGTTTAACCTTTAAAAGAGCACTTCCAATCCATTGAAAGATACATCTTTAGCTTCCTTCGCTAAGGCTTGCTTCAAAAGAAAATGATGTGATTCACTGAGGAAGATTTTACGCAAGATATGTTTCGATTGGTTTAGGTAATCATCGATAAGATTATTGTTTAATAAAAAGTCGTGGATCTTCACACTTGTAAAAAATTCCAATTCGATGCGAATAAGCATGGTTCGCTTTCATATCGTCGTATCTCGCAATCTCAAAATAGCATTGCTCATACATTTATAATTAAGACTCTTAATAAATAGAGCAGAGTGCCTGCTAAACTGCGAGATTTACATCGACGCAAAACCCATTTTTAATTCACAATTTTTCATAAGAAGATCCATCGTTCCTGTTCATCTAATATTTCTTTCTCGTGTGATTCACATGCCAATTCATTAGCTACACTTTAGCATGAAACATCATAGAAATACTACGTTCTGTTGAAGCAAGCCTCAGCGAAGAAAGCTAAAGATGTATCTTTCACTGTATTGCAAGTGCTCTTTTAAAGGCTGAACAAAAGCTGTTAGCGCTATCCCTTCGGGATTAAAATGTGAAACACGATGTAAGTGTTAATTCTGACCAGAAAAACAAATTATTCTATATATTTCTGAACTTTTTCTTTCATTACACTTCAATGCACCACATACAAGTGAAAAATGCAAGCAGGTCATAAATTTACTGATATTGTATCATTATGTGTTCCTTGACCGTACGAATACGTCCACTACTATTCATCAAAGTATATCATAAGTGCTCCTCTCTATCCACCCTGAATTTGCTAACCCGTTTATGATTGTTCCAACGCATATCTGTTAGGGTCTGCTATCGTTAATTAACTAATTATACCGTAATTAGCTAATTCATCAATTAAAATATATGTGGAAGTAACCCAAATGTGTATCCTTAACACCTCAATATTGCTTTCCATTCGACTTCGACAAAGCACCTTTGTAACGCTCTGTGATGGATAAATCACCTGTCTGTAACAGAGACCGCCATAGACCATTTTTTTTCAGCCCTGCTCTGTCGTAAAGATTATATAGTAAATTTTTCTTCGCCCTGCCCTGCAGGACAGGGCAGGGCTTATAAGTTGAACTCAATATATAAAAGGCATGATTTTGATAAAAATAATTGTGAGTATATTCAAATTAAAACCATCTATTTCATAATTTATTTACATGCTGCTGAGAAAATGTGGCAATCAACATGTTTTTAAAATAGAGCTAAACGTGAACAATGAAATGCAATGAAGATTTTCATTAAGAATATAATGCAATCGCAAAAAATTATAATATAATAAAATAAAATTTACATTTAACGTAGTTGCAGCCGTGTTTGTTTTGTATTCAAATGGTTTACAAGCTAGATCGATCGAATTGTAGTGATACTCATTATCGGCATATAAAACAGTTACACCTCAATAAGAAATTTTTATATAACTCAGTTCAAAAGTCCGGATATATTGGTTAATGAATGTTCTTCTAAAGGAATTGATAAAAGTTCTTTCATTTCTTCTTTATATAAGAACTAATGAAGAAAAAATATATCGTCTTGACCAGATTTAGTCGCGAAGTGGACATTAATCAATACTTCAATATCTCATAGTATCAATACTACGAAAAATTTCTCTTAAACAATTTTTTATAGAAAAAATAGATCAGGGCAGGGCACGGCAGCCCTGCCCTGTGACGGTCTCTGGTCTGTAACGATCTGTGATGAGTAAATCACCTCACTGTAATGATCTGCGATCGGCGAAATTTATCTATCACAGATCGTTACCGACAGGTAAGTTACCCGTCACAGACCGTTACCGACAGATGATTACCTGTCGGTAACGGTCTGTGGGGGGGGGGGGGGGGGGGGGGGACAAATTT